TGATATACAAGAAATTAAAAAAGATTAGAAAAATTTAAAAGAAAGAAAATTTATATCTATATATAATATAGATATAATTTTATATATGGTAGTAAATTTTCTTTCTTTTAAAGTATTCTAATCTTCTATAATTTCTTATATAAAATTTTGAACTAACTTTCAGGGCTTGTCACATCTTATAAATGTGATAATGTAATAGTATGCTTGTATAATTTGGATTTATTTTTATAGGATACTACAGCTGGAATTATACCACGTGCATTGAGTCATTTGTTTGATGAATTACGTTTGTTAGAAGCACAAGAATATACAGTTCGAGTTAGCTTTCTTGAATTATACAATGAAGAATTATTTGACTTATTATCACCTTCTGATGATGCATCTAAAATAAGGTAATTTTATTATATTCTTGTAAAAAATATAAAAATTAGATTAGCATATTTATAATTCTTTAGGCTTTATGAAGATGCTACAAGAAAAGGTTCAGTGATCATTCATGGATTAGAAGAAGTAACTGTACACAATAAAAATGAAGTTTATAAGATCTTAGAAAAGGGATCAGAAAAAAGACAAACAGCTGCAACTTTAATGAATGCTCACTCGAGGTTACCATCTTAAAATAAATTAAAAATTTATTTTAAAACTTTACGCTACTTATATATTTTTCCTTTTAGCCGTTCCCATACAGTATTTTCAATTACAATTCATATAAAAGAGAATAATGTGGATGGCGAAGAACTATTAAAAACGGGAAAATTAAATTTAGTAGATTTAGCTGGAAGTGAAAATGTTGGAAGATCTGGTGCAGTTGATAGGAGAGCAAGAGAAGCAGGAAATATTAATCAATCATTATTGACTCTTGGTCGAGTTATAACAGCACTTGTTGAAAGAGCACCTCATATACCATATCGGTAACACATAATAATAATAATAATAATTTCATAAATACGAATATATAAAAAATTTTAAAAATTACATTAACAATTAAAGTTTAATAAATCTTTATCTGTGAGAGAAATACATTGATTTAATCTATTCTTTGTATTTTTTATTGATCAGGGAATCAAAATTAACAAGACTTTTGCAAGAATCATTAGGAGGACGTACAAAAACGTCAATTATTGCAACAGTATCTCCAGCAAGTGTAAATATTGAAGAAACCTTATCGACGTTAGATTATGCTCATCGTGCCAAAAATATTACAAATCGTCCCGAAATCAATCAGAAGTTGTCTAAAAGAGCATTGCTTAAAGAGTATACAGAAGAAATTGAGAGACTTAGAAGAGATTTGTTAGCAGCACGTGAACGAAACGGTGTATATTTGGCACATGAGAATTATAATGAAATGCAAGCATTAATTGAAAATCAAACCAGGGAAATTGAAGAAAAAATAACACACATTAAAGTACTTAAAGAAACTATGGATGCTAAAGAAGTAATTACACAATGATTAATTTATATTTTATTATAGTATAAACACTATTAAGTAATTAATATTAAAGTTATAATATATTAATACTACTTAAGTAATTAATACTTATCTTAAATTTTATTTTTGTTTAGCAAATATTTAATGATTTAGAAGCGGAACATCTCGCACAAACTAATTATCTGCATAAAACTGAGGAACAATTAGAATGCACTACACATATTTTGAAATCGACTGAAGCTCTTTTAGAAATGACAGAACGTGAGAAAGAAGAACAATGTCACTTAGTAGAAAAACATGTATCTACAGAAAAACAACTTTTATCGCAAGCACAAAAACTCTTGGATGTAGCAGATGCAGCAACAGTCGATGTAAATAAGCTTCAAGATAAAATTTCTTACAAGAGGTACATTATTTTTCATATTTATTTATTATATTATTAAGCATTAATATTTTGTAATACAGATTAATGTTTCTTAAATACTATGATAGCATTATAGTCATTTAAAAAAATATATTTAAAAATACATGTTTATAGACAATTGGAACAAGAAAATGAACATATTAGTCATCAGTTCCGAAGTAATATTTCAAAACAGTTTCAAGATATAGAAAATAATGTTACAGTTAATACACGAGAATTTATAGATTTTTGCACTTCTATGAATAGTAATATTGGTAAGTAAAAATTATGAGGATACACTTAATAAATGTAGAATATATATATTATACAGATACTTTTGCAGATTCACGAATGGAACTATTTAAAAAGGATATTGATGCACTAGTCTACCATATGTCGAATGATATTGTTAATAAACAAAAATTAGCAACAGATGAAATCATGAATAATATACATAATTCAGTAAGTATTATTTACATATATGAAATGTAACAAAAAAAAATGTATATAAAAAATAATTGTAAAAAGTAAATTTCTCTTTAGTACAAACACTATCACGAGTGGCTAGACACAGAAATGGCACAGTCATCTGATATGACTCAGCATGAATGCAAATCTTTAAATGACATATCTCTAAAATTGACATCAAAAATTAATGATTTGATAGAAGTTAATAATATGGAAATTATAAAAAATTTACGTTGTTTAAATGACAACGTATCTCGAAAGTTTGATGAATTATTGGCATATACAAGTGAATCTACAAGACAACTTTGTAACAATAAGTTGCAAGAACGTGATAATTTACATAAAAATATAGACATAATAAGACAGAATATACAAACTATTCGTCAAGGTGATGATAAAATCATGGAAGATCAAAAAAGGTTTAGAAAGGTATAATTTAGTAATAATTCTGTTATCTGATAGTATTTTTTAAATAACATTTTTGTTTATTCTTTGATTAATATTTTAATAATTTTACTCAAATTATATATATTGTCCTTATTTTACAGTCGTTTGAAAGTCTATGGCTACAATTTAACAAATTAAATGAAAACATGAAGGAGAATTATTCCACTGCATGTACCACCTTAAATCATGTTAATGAAGTTTGCAGCAGTACAACTAATGATATTCTCAATAACTGCCAAAAGGCTGTTGAAAGGAGCGAGACTCTGCAACAGGAAATTCAGAATGGTATAGATATACTCAAAAACGATGTTGTATCTAGCACAGAAAAGGTAACATTTAATTTTCATTAATTTTCAAATTATTAAATACTTAAAATAATATGAATAAGATAATACACTAATTCTGTATCTTTTATTCTATCAGAATTGGACGTTAGCAGAGCAAATTGTAGAACATAGCCATAATTTAACTGACGAACTTCAAACTGACTTAAATAATCACTGCGATGTACTAGCACAGAATGCACTACATGTCGAAAGTAATACGACACAAATGAAACAAAAATTAAAGATAGATAATTCTTCTTTTATTGGATCTATCAAAGTAAATCTATCTATTTTGTGTATAAATATTAAAATTATTTTGGACATGTATATAGATAATTAATCTATATAGATAATTAATCTAATTGTTTCCCTTATAGAATATGTATGATACACTAGTACAAAGAAGAAATGATCACAAAAAGCTTGCAGAAGAATTAAAAGAGAAAAATCTACAAATGTCCATAGAACTGAATGATAAGCTCGCAAGTAGAAGTAAAAATTCGTCTGACTGGAATGACAAAACACTTATAGAAATACATTCAATTCAAGAAAAAATTGGCAAATTTCTTGAAGATTTACGGCATGACACGCCTACAGGTAATCTCTCATCTTTATTCTTGTATATTAATAGGGGGGAGGCGTTAAAAAAATGTCATTATTTAAGTCTTTAAAAAAGGAAACAGTTGTTTGTCTAACGAGTCGTGAGAAAATTATTAGAATTATTGGCTTAAATGAAATTAATATTGTCAGTTTTGACTGTATATTTATGATACTTTTTTGACAAAAATAAAGAATTATTAAGCTGATCATATTAAACTGATTATATCAAGAGTCGAATGATTTTGAATTTGTAATTATGAAAGAATCAATATAGAGTGATAAAAAGTGTGGAAAAATCTCGAAAAATATGAAAGATATCGAAAAATATTTTAGTTGGAACTGAAATGATTTCCAGAAGGGACATATTTTGTTCACTTTGTTTTCTTTTTAGACAGAAATACTAAAAAAATATGAAACTCATTGCCACCTTTTTAAATGAAATTATGATTTTTTTAAATATGATAATATAGTATGATTCCTTTAATTATTCTGCTTATAAAAGTATTAAGCTAGATATATTTAAAAACAAGTTTGAGATAATGAGATATTTTATACTTTATTTTGACATACATATCAACATAAAATATTAAATATTTCGAACTTTTTTGTGTTACATTATACAGATTCTTTCAAAATTACAAGTTCACTCTTTAATTAGCTTAAAAATTTTTCGCTATTTTCATTTCATAAAATCACAAACATACAATCAAAGTTTAAAAATCATTAAAAAAAAATTCATTTAAGCTTCTAATTCTCTAGTAATGTTCCCATCACTTCTCGAACAAATAATTGTTATTTCCTATTTTTGAAAACCAAGAAAATAGTTTTTCCAAATCCGTTTAGATAGAACTTGGAGGTGAAAGTTGATACATTTTTAACATCCTCTTTTATATAAAA